GAAGAAAGGGAGGAGGGGAAGAATAATTATGTATGCAGGAGGGAGGAATGGAAGGAATGGTGTGAGCAGGGAAGAGAGAGAGATGAGAAATGAGGGAAGAAGAGAGGAACGGAGGGAGTGAGAGGGAGAGGAATGGAGGGAATGATGTAAGGAGGGAGAATGGGAAGGCAGTAAGTAAGGGAAGTAAGGAAGGGAGGGGAAGAGAGAGTAAGGGAAGAAGGGAGGGAGAGAGCAAGATGGAAGGAGGGAGGAGAGGGTAAGAGGAGGAGGGTAGGAGAGAGAGGGTAAGAGGGAGGAGGGTAGGAGGAAGGAAAGAAGAGAGGGAGGGAGAGAGGGGAAGATGGGAGGAAGGAGGGAAGGAGAGAGGGAGGGAGGGAGATAGGAAGTGAGGGAGGGAGGGAGGGAGGGAGGGAGCGGTCCACGAATGATAGGGTCCAGTTACAGCAGCAGTAATTACAGTCAGCTTGGACGGTCAGCGCCATGTTGTGAGCCGTCGCTGCTCTTTGCCTCCTGCCAGCCTTCTTCTGCTGACAACCTGCTGACTGCTCTTCTTTATCTTCCTCTTCTCTTTCTCCTTCTTTCTTTTCTCTCTTTCCTTTCTTGTGATTTTTTTCGGGCTGTTTTATTATACATTTTTCTTCTGTTGATTTGTATTTTCCTTCTTCCTCTCCTTTTCTGTTGTTTTCTTCTGCTTTAATTTTCTGCTCGTTTCTGCTGCTTTCTTTCCTGTTTCCATTTTATCTAATTCCTGTTAATTGATGTTGATGTTGCGAATTAAATATAATTTCGTTTTTTATCACATTTGAAATAATCCTCAATACTTCAGTACTTAAGAGACAAGGGCAAAATGAGAAATGGAAGAGAGAGACACAGAGAAGAAAGAGAGAGAGAAAGAGAAAGAAAGAGAGAGAGAGAGGAAGAAAAACACAACCAAAATCTCACCCATACTTCCTGTCTGTTTATTCCATTTATCGCAATTAGATAAAACAAAAAACGAATAAATACACAAATAAGTCGATGCATAACCAAAATCAAGATAAACGTATCAGATCCTGTATTGGGATCCTAATCTCCAAAACACGGTCTTGAACCCTGAAGATGTTGCAGATTGCAGTGTTCATTGTGTGGTTCTCGCAAGGTTTGTGAATTTGCGGTTCGAGTTCGTCTGGTTGCAGTCGTCGCATATGCTTGTGCATCTTTGGTCTTTTCCTTATGTTCGTGACGGTCATAGTGTAGGGATATTTTTTGAGAATTAGTATTTAATTGTTGTTATTGCCGTTTTTTTGTTTTTTGTTATTAGTAATATTACGATTACCATTATTGTTGTTGTTGTTATTGTTGTTGTTACTTTTGTTGTTATCATCATCATCAATGTTGTTATTGTTAATAATAATGATAATGATAATAATAATAATAATTATTATAATAATCATTATAATGATAATGTGATTATTATTATTATTATCATTATCATTATCATTAATGTTATTGCTATTATTAGTGGTAGTATTCTCAAAGTAATATTATTATTGTTATCATCATCATACCATTGTCATTAGTATCAGTTTTATCTTAAACATCATCATAATATTATGACTATCATCATGATTATTACTATTATTATTATTATCATTATTATTATTATCATTATCATTTCTATTGTTATGATTATTATTGTTGTTATTAAGATGATAATGATCATCATCATTATTATTATTGTTATCGTCATTATCAATATTATTATCATTATTATTGTTGCTGTTACTATTATGATTATTATCATTTTTATGATGATCGTTATCATCATATTATTATTGTCACCATTTCAAGAATTATTATTATTGTTATCTTTATTAGTTATTATTATTATAGTAGTATTAGTATTAGTATTGATGTTGTTGTTTTTATTATCGCAGTTGTTTTCATTATTGTTATCATTTTTTTTTATAATTATATTGATTAGTCAATGGTATCATTATCATTATTATTATTTGTTGTTATTATTGGTGTTTGTGTTTTATTATTAGTAGTAGTATTCCTATTATTATTATCATCATTATCAGTATCATTTATGTTATTACTTTTGTTTATTTCATATTTTTTTATGATTACTACTATAATCAATGTCATTATTGTTATTGTTATTATAATTATAATTATTATTTTTTACGTCGGCAGCAGCAGCATCACCACCATCACCATTATTATTATCATCATTATTATTACTTATATTATTATTATTATTATTATTATTGTTATTATTGTTATTATTATTATCATTATCGTTATTATTGTTATAATTTCAAGGATTTATTATAAGTCTTTATCATTATTGTTATTATTGTTATTAGTATAAATATTATTTATTTCTGTAATAGTTATAATTATGATGATGATGATGATGATCATCATCATCATCATCTTCATCATCATCACCATCATCATCATCATCATCATCACATTATCATTATCATTATACCATCAACATTGCCATTACCATTACTATAACTACAAGTATTACAGTAACTATTACTATTACTGTTATTGTTGTTTTTTTGTTATTATCTCTCTCTCTCTCTATATATATATATATAGTAGATAGATAGATAGATAGATAGATAGATAGATGATAGATAGATAGATAGATAGATAGATAGATAGATAGATAGATAGATAGATAGATAGATAGATAGATAGATAGATGATAGATAGATAGATAGATAGATAGATAGATAGATAGATAGATAGATAGATAGATAGATATAGATATAGATATAGATATATATATATATATATATATATATATTATATATATATATATATATATATATATATATATATATTATATGTACACACACAAACCTCTTCCTCTCTCCCCTCCGTCTCCTTTTCCCTCCCCCCCTCTGCCTCTGCCTCTCCCCCATTCCTCTCCCTCTCCCCATTCCCTCTCCCTCTCCCCCAAATTTCCCTACATCACCATAAAGCCATTAGAATTTAATACCATGCATTTATGACGCCATAACCATTACCAGAAGATGATCAGAGCAGAACGCCCCGGCCGGAGCCCCGCGCGCCGCCCAGAAGCCTCGAACCGGGACGGGGGCGCGGAGGCTTCGGGGAAAGTCACTGTGGCTGTCGTTTTGGAAGATTGTAGGCCTACTTATTTTTTTATTTTTTTTTTATTTATTATTATTTTTTTTAACTTTTTTGTACTTTTTGTACTGTGCTTGATTTTTTTGACGGTATGCTTGATTTTTTTTTTATGACAGTGCTTGATTTTTGTGTAAGATTGTAGGCCTACTTGTTATTTTTTATGTTACTTTACTTTGGACTGTGCTTGATTTTTTTTTTCTTTTTTTGAGAGTGTGCTTGTGAATGTGTTGTGTGTTGTGGGTGTTTTTGGGGTTGAAATGTATGGTTGTTATTTGTTTTATGGGTTGGTGTATTCGCTGATGTGTATTTAATTTAGGTGTGAGTTTTTTTTTTTTTTTTTTTTTTTTTTAGGTTTCTATTGATATCGTTTTTTTTTCGTTATGTTAAACAATACGAGGATTGGGTTGCAAGAGCATGCTTATGCTTCTCTCAAATGTTTATTTCCTTCGTCATCATTATTATTCGTGTTGTTGATATCTTTGTTCTTGTTACCGCCATCATTATTATTGTTATCATTTTCATCATCGTCGTCGTCACCATAAAAATCATCGCCATCACCATAATAATAATAATAATAATAATAATGATAATGATAATGATAATGATAATGATAATGATAATGATAATGATAATAATAATAAATAATAATCAACACCACTATCATCGCCACAATCATCATCATCATCATCATTATCACACCACCACCACCATGATCATCACCATCATCATCATTATTACCATCATTATCGTCATCATAATTATCACCACCATCATCATCATCATCATCATCATCATCATCATCATCATCCTTATCATTTCAATTCTCCCTCTCACGCTGTCGTTCACTTCCTGTCGCTCCGTCGCACGACAGCCCACGCGTCCTATTGGAGTCCCCCCCCCTTCCTCCCTCCCCCCCCACCGACCCCGCCCACACCGCCATCAGGGAGTGTAACATGGGCGGGACTACGATATATAAAAGGGCGTGTTCTCTTTCCCTTTCTTCCTTGCCTTCTTTTTTCTTTTTCTTTTTTTTTTCTTTCTTTATATTTCGCTCTTTCTTCTCTTCGGTTGCTGCCTCCCGTTTTCTCTTCTTTTTTCTTGTTATTTTTCATATTTTCTCTCGATTTCTTTTTTTTTTTTTTTTTTTCTTTTTCCCTTCTTAACTCCCTCCTTCCCTTCTTGCCTCCCTCCTTCCCTCCTTGTCTCCTCCTTCCCTCCTTGTCCCCCTCCTTCCCTCCTTCCTCCCTCCTTTCCCTCCTCCTCCCTCCACACACGCGCACACTCACTCCCCCCCCCACACACACACACGCACGCACGCACACGCACACACACCCGCTCACTCACGCACCCCCCTCTCCCCCCGCTCACTCACCCCCCCCCGCCTGATTGCTCTCTCGGGGGAACATTAGTCTTAAAATCCCATCATATCATTATCAAGACGGATTCCGCAGTGATCGGAGATGCGTTACGTCACGCTCCATGTTATCCGGCCAATTAAAGGCGACGGGGCACGTATTGCTGACTCAGAATATCAAAATACACCTTCGCCTCCGTTATGCGGACGCTCGCTCGCCCTCCCCGCCGTCTGCCGAGCGCCCCCCCCCCCCATCCCCCTCCCCTCCCCTCCCCTTCCCGCGTTTCGTCCGTCGCAGCTGTTCAAAAATTGGCGGGAAAAAATGGCGGTTTCGGGAGGATTTTAAGAGAGAGGGGGGGGAGAGGCTATAGACGGTGGGGAAGTAGGAAGAAACAAAAAGAGATTGAGGAATTGGGGGAGATGAAATTGGGAGAAATTGTGGTTTACTTGGGGGTGGTTATAATTCGGTATCGGATTCGAGACCACGTGACACATGAAAAAGCTCGGCGTTCGGGTAAGCTGGAGGTGAATCCGGGGAGGCGAGGAACCCCGTTTTTATACAGCAGAGTTCTTGCATGCGGATGTAGGCGGGAAGGATGAAGAAGAGGAGGAGGAGGAGGAGGAGCAATGAAGGAAGGGAGGTTAGGAGGAGAAGAGCAAGAACAAAAGAAGAAGAAAAGGAAAGAGAAACGAAAAGAAATTAAGGAAACGAAGAGTAAACACTTTAAAACAAAACAAAAACAAAAAAACAAAAAAACGACAGCAATACCAAAAAACACAAGAAAATCGTTAAACAACAACAACAACGAAACAAACCAAAAACCCAAGACGAGAAGACCAGGAATCTTAGCCCCGACCCCAAGAAAACACGAGCATCGCCATTCACTCGTTTCTGCCTCAACGATATCACCACCACCACCACCACAACAACACAACACAACAACAACATCAACAACATCAACATCAACAACAACAAGACAGAAGAGCAGGAATCTTAGCTCCCAACCCAAGAAACACGAGCATCGCCATCACACGTTTCGCCAACGATAACAACAAAAACAACAACAACAACAACACAACAAGACCAGAAGACAGGAATCTTACTCCCAACCCCAAGTCGCCATTCACTCGTTTCTGCCTCAACGATAACAACAACAACAACAACAACAACAACAACAAACAAGACCAGAAGACCAGGAATCTTAGCCCGGACCCAAGAAACACGAGCATCGCCATTCACTCGTTTCTGCCTCAACGATATCACCACCACCACACAACAAAACAACAACAACAACAACAACATCAACAACAACAACAACAACAAGACCAGAAGACCAGGAATCTTAGCCCCACCCCAAGAAACACGAGCGTCGCCATTCACTCGTTTCTGCCTCTCCCATTCGGCGGGTCATCAGCTAGATTTACAACGGTGATAGGGCAGTGATTTCATGCTGTCTCTCGCCGCGCTTTTGTCACGGTTGTGGTTGTGAAAAGGGGGCGCTGGTGACGACCATGGTGTTGATTTGAGATTTGTAATTGGTGTTGTGAATGATATAGTTAATGGGAGTATTGATGGTGATGATGATAATGGTTCTGATGTGCTGGTATTCTGAATAATGGGGATTGTAATTATGATGGTAGGTAATAATGATGATGATAATAATGGTGATAGTAAAATTATAATGAAAGTAGTGATAATGATGATAATAGTAAAGATGATGATTTAAGTTATAATGATAATGATATCATTGTTTTTGTTATTATTATTACTGTTGTTGATATTATTATTTTGGTTAATGGTTTTATTGTTAATATTATCATTAGCATCAAATAAATGCGATATTATCAAGATGTCATATCATGTATTGGTATGTTATGATATTTCAGAATCTTTTTTTTCATCTTTTTTTTTTCTTCACCATTATTATTTTTTTTTTTTAATATTTAATTTTTCTCCGTTCTCCGTTTTTCCTCCTCCTTTTCCAATTCTTCTTTCTTTCCCATTTTTCTCTCCTACTCCTTCCCTTTTACCTTTTTTCTTCCTCCACTTTCACATCGTCTCCTTTTCGTTCTCTTCTTTTCACTTCTATTCATCTTTTTTTCTTCCTTTTCCTCATTTTCTTTTCCCTCGTCTTCCTCTTCCCCTCTTCCTATTCCTCCTCTTCCTCTTTTCCATCATCATCTTCCTCTTTCTCTTTTGCCTTTTTTCTCCTTCTTCGCCTTCTTCTACTTCGTCCTCTTCTTCGTCTCCTTCTTCTTCTTCTTCTTCGTCTCCTTCTTCTTCTTCTTCTCCTTCTCTTATCCTCTTGGGTGGCCCTGTGTATCCAAAACAAACCATCAAAGACCTGTAGTTTGAAGCGTGTGAAAAATTTGAATAGGTAACTCACTCCCCCCCCCCCCACTGGAATTTCTTCTTTTTTTCTTTCCTTTTTGTGTCTGTATTTTTTTTGTTGCTGACTACAAACTTCCTTTTCATACAATTCATTTTCTCACACATTCAAACACGCACACAGAAGGACGGATACACGCACATGCGCACGGAAACACGCACACATATACACACAGGTAAGTACAGGCAAACACACGTACAGAACATCACCCAACTATACGCATACACACACACCCTTACACACCCATATCTCCATACACACACGCATACGCCCATCTCCATGCACATCACCGCACGTACACACCTCAACGCCACACACACCCCCAATAACACGTACATCTCTCTGTTACCTAACATACACACGCACAACTCATCACCACACACCACATCACCACAACAAAAAAATCTCATACACACGCATCCGGATACGTATCACACATAGTCATCACGCCACCACGCGTACTTCCACAACCCCGACTGCCACGGCATACACTCCCTCGCCTCACACCCTACCTTCGCCCTCATACCAGAACTACACCTCACCCTCACCACCACCCACATAGCCATACACCTTCTCGCTCACCAACACCGCAGTAGCATACACCTTCTCGCTCACCACCACCAGATACACCTCATACACCTACACCTTCTCGCACACCACCACCGCCAGTAGCATACAGCCTCACCCTCACCATAGCAGTATGCACCCTCATCCACCGCCACAGCACACCTCACCCTCACCATCACCATCACAGCAGCCTACACAGGCACCTCAACCACCACCGCCACCAGTCTACCACCTCACCACCGCCACAGTCTACACCCTCACCCCCACAGCAGTCTACACCCTCACGACCGCCACAGCAGTCTACACCCTCACCCTCACCACAGCAGTCTACACAGGCACCATTACCACCACCACCGCCACAGCAGTCTACACCCTCACACCGCCACAGCAGTCTACACCACCACCACCGCCACAGCAGCATACACCCTCACATCACCACAGCAGTCTACACAGGCACCATTGCCACCACCACCGCCACAGCATCTACACCCTCACCACCGCCACAGCAGTCTACACCACCACCACCGCCACAGCAGTCTACACCCTCACACCGCCAAGCAGCATTACACCCTCACCCTCACATCACCATCACCACAGCAGCCTACACAGGCCCCTCACACCACCACCGCCACAGCAGTCTACACCCTCACACCGCCACAGCAGTCTACACCCTCACCCTCACCATCACCACAGCAGTCTACACAGGCACCATTACCACCACCCGCCACAGCAGTCCCTCACCACCGCACACAGTCTACACCCTCACCCTCACCACCGCCACCACACAACCATGAAAAAAGGCAACTAAACACAAACAAGCGGAGGCCTCGTTGCTGCCCTTATAACAAAGGAGAGGCCGGTGGTGTTTGTAATTGGTGTTGTCGTTGGCGCCATTTTTGTTGTCGTTGACGGTGTGGTTGTGGTTGTTGCAGCTTTGGTTGTTGTTGTGGTGGTGTTAGTTGTGTGTATGGTGTTGTTGTTTTCGCCTGTGGGTTGTTGTCGTTTTTGGGTCGTTGTTGTGCCGTGGTCGGTGGTGTCTTGTTGTGCGTGGTCGTTCTTGTGTCGTTGTTGTGGCCGGTGTCTTGTCGTTGTTGTGGCCGTGGTCGGTGTTCTGCTGTCTTGTTGTGGTCGGTGTTCTTTTGTTGTCCGTGTTTTCTTGCTGTCGTTGTTGCCGTGGTCGGTGTTCTTGCTTCGTCATCGTTGTCGTCGTCGTTGTTGTCGTCTTCGTCGTCGTTTCCTTGTTGGAAATGAAAAATCTCAAATTCAAAAAGTCCCGACGATTCTTACGAGACAGCGCGCGACGGCGACTTGAGGGATGTGGCGCCGAGGTAGGGAGGGGGGGGTATAGAATGATACTAATTTTTATCATTATTGCTTTTGTAATTGTTATTATTAACATTATTATTATTATCATTAAACTTATTATTATTGTTATCATTAAAATTATTATTTATCATTAAACTTAATATTATTGTTATCATTAAACTAATTATCACCATTGTTATTATTGTTATTTATTATTATTTATTGTTTTATTGTTATTATTATTATTATTATCATTATCATTATTTTATTATTATTATTATTGTTAGTATTTTATCATTGTTATTATTTATTATCATTATTATCATTGTTGTTTCATTGTCGTCATCATCGTCTTTGTTGTTATATTTATTATTATTATTATCGTTTTTCTTGTTGATGTTATTGTAATTGTTATCATCATCACTTATTATTCATTATTAGTAGATAATATTTATATTTTGTTATCATCATTTTCAATATTTCTACGACTATGTATTTGTCTTCTAAGCCAATTTTTGTTTTCTATTTATTATTTCTCTTTCTTTCTCTTTTTTCTTCCTTTCATTCTTTCTTTTTACTCTTTCATTCTTTTGTCGTTTATTGCTACGATTTTTTTTTATTGTTTCTTTTTCTTTCTTACTCATTTCTTAGTCATTAGTCAGTCTTGAAGAAGTAATGAACGTGGGACGATTGTGAGAATAGGAGGGGGGGTATATTGGGGGGGTGAGGGTCGTTGAAGGTCGATTTTATAGGGAGGTGGTCGTTGGTGAGGAGGGGGTTATGGAGGGTGGGGTCGTTGGGGTTTGTGTGGGGAAGGGGGTCGTTGAGGGTATAGGGAACTGTTGGGGGGGTATTTGGGGGTAGGGGTCGTAGTAGGGCGGGGTGTGAGATGGTGGTTGAGATTGTATGGGGAAGGGAGTCGTTGGAGGTATAGGGATTTTGGGGGGTATTTTGGGGGTAGGGGTGTGGTAGGGTAGGGGGGGGTCGTGCGAGTTGGTCGTTGAGGTTTGTGTGTATGGGGGGCTCTATGGTGGGTATGGGCGTCGTCTAGGGGAGTGTATGTCGGGGGTAAGGGGGTCGTGCGTTTCGGTGAAAGGGGGTCGTTGTGGTAGTTAGTGGCAGCGGGGAGACGGCGTCGGCGCCTGTGGGTGGCGCTGGGTCAACATGTCGTGACAGCGAGATACTGATGGCTCCGAGACGTGCTCTTCATAACCTCTCGCCCCCTCCTCATCCCCCCCCCTTTCCCCTCCCCTCTCCTGCCCCCTCCTGCCCCCTCCCCCTTGTCTTCCTCCTCCTCCTTTTTTTTTCTCCTCCTTCTCTCGTCTTCCCTCACCTCCTCCCCTCCTCTCTTGCTATCCTCTTTCCTTTTTCCTCCCTTCTTTTCTCTCTGTCTTCCTCTCCTCTTCCCCTTCTCGTCCCTTCCTCTTCCCCCCTTCTTCTCCCTTCTCTTCCCTCTCCTTCCGCCGCCCTCTCCTGTCCACTCCTGCCATTTCTCCTCCTCCTTTTCCTTCCCTTCCCTTTCCTCCCTCCTCTCCTCATTCTTCCCTCTCTTCTTTCTCTTCTCACCCTTTCCCCTTCCCTCTTCTCTCCTCTCACCCTACACTCTCCTCTCCCCCTTCCTCTACCCTCTTTCTACTCTCCTCTCCCCTCCTCTTTTCCCACTCCCCCTCTCTCTGCCCTTCATTTTCATCTCCTCGTCCCTCTTTTCATCTCGTATCCTGCATCTCCACTCTCCATCTCCTCTTTTTATTTTTAGTATTAACTCTCTCTCTCTCTCTCTCTTCTCTCTCTCTCTCTCTCTCTCTCTCTCTCTCTCTCTCTCTCTCAATATATATATATATATATATATATATATATATATATATATATATATATATATATATATATATATATATATATATATATATATATATATATATATATATATATATATATATATATATATATATATATATATATATATATTATATATATATATATACATGATATATTTATATATATATATATATATATATATATATATATATATATAAAATGTATGTATATATATTTGTTTCTCTCTTTCTGTCTGACTGTCTCTCTGCCCTTCTATATGCCTAAATCGGTCGGCCTTTTTATGTCTATTTAAACATCTTAATCTTTCTTTATAGCTTTTTGTGCCTCTCTGTCTTTCAGTCCCTCGAAGGCTTTTTGTATTTCTGTCTAAAACTTCGTCTTCGTGTCTCTTTTTTCCTGTCTTTCCTTTTATTTGATTTTTTGTCGGTCTACCTAACTCTCTCTTTCTGTCAGTCTAAAGCTTAATTTCTTTCTGTATATCTGAAACTCATTGTCATTCTGTCTGTCTAAAACTCATTGTCTGTCATAAAAGCATTGTCATTCTGTCCGCCGTGATATTATTATATCATTATATATCAGTCATTATATCTGTCTAAAACTCGTTTGTCGCTCTGTCTATCTCATTGTCATTTTTGTTTAAAATTTATTGTCATTCTGTCCGTCTGAAACTCATTGTCTTTCCGTCAATCTATTTATGCCTCTCTGTCTTTCCCTGTCTAATCTCCCATCTCTCCCGCCCCCTCTTTTATCCCTTCCTCCCTCTCTCCCCATCGCCCTCCTCTCCTCCCCTCCTCCCTCTCCCTCCCTCCCTCCCTCCCTCCCTCCTCCCTCCCTCCCTCCCCTCCCTCCCTCCTCCTCCCTCCCTCCCTCTCCCTCCCTCCCCCCTCCCCTCCCTCCTCCCTCCCTCGCCCTCCTCTCCCTCCCTCCCTCGCCCGGACCGCAAAGACGACCTCAGAGTCACTCCTTATGCCTCCCTGCGGTTCACTCCGGCGAGGCTCCGTAGGCCTGGGAGCGGATCGTGTGATAAGGGTCCCGGCTCCGTGTGGATATGAGGCACATCCACTCGTTCGTCTAACATCCATCCCGTGAGAAAGATGGAGGGACGGGCGTGGGGAGGTGTGGGGGGAGAGGGTGTTGGGTTGGGAGGGAGGGTAGTGGGGGATGGGGTGGAGGTAAAGGGGTGGGAAGGGGATGGGAATATGGTGGTTGGGATGGGGTGAGGTTGGCATGTCTGTGTGTGTTAATATGTATGTGTGTGTCTTTCTGTGTCTTTGTGTATGTGTTGTGTGTGTGTTTGTGTGTGTGTGTCTTTGTGAATATATGTGTGTGTGTGTATGTCTTTGTGAATGTGTGTGTCTTTGTGAATATGTGTGTGTCTTTGTGATATGTTGTGTCTTTGTGAATATGTGTGTGTCTTGTGAATATGTGTGTGTCTTTGTGAATATGTGTGTGTCTTTGTGAATATGTGTGTGTCTTTGTGAATATGTGTGTGTGTCTTTGTAAAAATGTGTGTCTTTGTAAAAATGTGTCTTTGTGAATATGTGTGTGTCTTTGTGTGTGTGTCTTGTGAATATGTGTGTGTGTGTGTGTGTCTTGTGAATATGTGTGTGTGGTGAATATGACTTTGTGAATGTGTGTGTGTGTCATTGTGAATATGTGTGTGTGTGTGTCTTTGTGAATATGTGTGTCATTGTGAATATGTGTGTGTGTGTGTGTTTGTGAATATGTGTGTGTGTGTGTCTTTGTGAATATGTGTGTGTGAATATGTGTGTGTGTGTCTTTGTGAATATGTGTGTGTGTGTCTTTGTGAAGTGTGTGTGTGTGTCTTTGTGTATGTGTGTGTATGTGTGTGTCTTTGATATATGTGTTTTTTGTCGTTTTTGTTAGGAACAAGGGGAGGAAGATAAAGGGTTGGTCGTAGGTTTGGGAAACAAAGAAAAAAAGTAATTAGTTGTAGTAGTACCGTATTTCCCTCAGCTGTTGTAATTTTATCTGTTTCATTGCTATCGCCATCTTTATCCATTCGCCAAAAACAATTCGCGATATCCACTCATCCCTCTTCTTCCATTCCAATACTGTTCTACCACTTTACCCCCCCTCCCCCCTCCTCCCCCCGCCATAATACAATTCCTCCAATAAGACCAATGCCTCTAGATCAAGGACAGAGGAGCAATATAACACTTAGTAATACATCGATACATTTAAGTGAAAGGCGATAGAAGATCAGTGTGTTGCAACGTTAACCACTGTCTTGCAAGACGAATCGCTACCGACGAAGATGGCGTTCGTGTAAGCCGTCTCGCCCCCGGATTCAAAAACGATTCAAGGGGCTGTTTGGTGCCGCTATTGTCTGAGATCTGTTTATTCGCGTGTTTGTTCGCTTTATTGTTTTTTTTTTTCGTTTTTTATCCCCAGCCTTTCGTTTCGTTTTATTTAGGGGATTCTGTTTTTCATATACACGGAGGTAAAAATATTGGGGCGACAATAACGTAGCGGTACGATATAATAACAATACAGCTAGACATGTATTCGCACAGCCATAAATCGGGTCTTGTCAAGCTCGACTCGCACCTCACACGCCGGCTCTAACTTACTACTCGGGGGGGCTACCACTCCTACCACTCCCACCACTCCCACTACTCTTATCACTCCTGCCATTCCTACAGC